TTTTTTAAGAGTTTTATCTATCTTATATTACCTAAACACTTCATATTATAAATACCTAATACTCATTACGATTTTGGGGGTGGTTGATCATTGTTTTACATCTTCACAACCCATTTCAAGATCCAAGAACACATCCAGAAATCTAGATTAACCTTTTGATTCTTGAGATTAATCAATCATAAGTTTGGGAAAAATATCGAATTCTTATAATCCGAAACACCAACTTCGTAGATATTATCAGGAAAATACTTTCTCGATAGCTTTCAAAAGTTGCTGAAGATTGATGGCAGTTGGACCAAAAGCACGGGAAGAGTACGAGAACGAGGCATTTTTGTTGTTCCATAGGAGATAGACAATTTTAAAAGATAATGAGCATGTACGAGTAGAGCACGTTCCAACAAATCTTGGATATTGCAGGAATAGGTTGGCAAGTTTGGTGGGTTTTCTAGGTTGGATCATACTGTATGTTCTTATTGTCTATAGTGAAAACTATTGGCTTGGTCCCGGAGTTTTTACCCAATTAAGAATTTTCTCAGTTATTAAATCTTGTGTTATTTATTGTTTTAATTATTTATAGCGGCAATTCAACATATTATAATTTGACTTGATTGACTAAACAGCTAGAACAATTAAAAATTGATTTATTACTTTCAATTGATAAATTTAATTCCGTACTATTCACCAATTATGTAATTTTAGGGTTGAACTGGCAACTTTTAATTTGGATGACGTTGAAAAAGATGAAACATAAACAATAGTTTCAAGCAATAATTGATGAAAGAAGAAACCAAAATGTAAGTGCTCGAAACACTTCAAATTGGGTGTCACAAATGCATTAGAATGAAAGTCAAAACAGAAAGCACAATTTAACTACTGCAAAGGAAGGTTATCTGCACAATTTTATCTAAACAGGCACTACAAAAATGCATCGTCAAACATGAAGCTTTAAACCATAATGAGTCTCAACCCCAATTTGACTTTTCTGGTGGTGAAACTTCTAGTTTTCATCTTATTTGTTGAGTTGGTGCTTCCAACTCAACAGAAAGCGTTCCGACTCCCGCTCTTCGATTAGATCATGATGACCATAGATTTGAGAGAACAAATTCAATTGATTTGTGGTTGGTTTTTAGTTATATTGACAATTTTTTAGACAAAAGGATTATTGTAAAATAATAAGATTGTTACGAAAGAGTTGTAAAAGTCAAGGAATCTTTTGGAGGGTATGAATTGAGAGTTTTTGAGTTCGAGTATGGAATAAGAAGAAAGAGTCGTCGGATTTACGCTAACATGTCACCTAATTGGTACTCAAGTGTCCAAAACAGAATCATTATCGCCCCGCCTCGAGCGATACACCTCTCGCTCGCCTATCGCTAGCCTGACGCTTAAGCGACGATATTTTTTGAGAAACTCTAGTTTGCGTTTTTCAAGAGTTTTATCTATTTTATACTCCCTAAACACCTTCTATTATAAATACTCAATGCTCATTACGATTTTGGGGGTGGTTAATCATTGTTTTACATCTTCATAATCCATTCCAAGATCCAAGAACACATCCAGAAATCTAGATTAACCTTTTGATTCTTGAGATTAATCAACCATAAGTTTGGGAAAAACATCGAATTCTTATAATCCAAAAAAACCCATTTCCTAAATATTATCAGGAATGTACTTTTTCAATAGCTTTCAGAGGTTATTGAAGATTGGGCGTGGTTGGACCAGAAGCACGGGAAGATTGAGCGTTCTTGTTGTTCCACATGAGATAGACAATTCCAGAAGATAAGAGGGCATGTATGAGTGGAGCACGTTCCAATGGGTTTTGGATATTGTAGGAATTAGATCAGCACGTCTAGTGGGTTTTCTAGGTTGGATCATACTGTAAGTTCTTTTTTGTCTATAGTAGAAACTATTGGCTAGGTCCAGAGTTTTTACCCAATTAAAGGTTTTCTCCGTCATCAAATCTTGTGTAATTTACTGCTTTAATGATTTATAGCGGCAATTCAACATAGAATAATTTGACTTGATTGACTAAACATTTAGAACAATTAAAATATGACTTCTTGTTTTAAATTGATAAATTTAATTTCGCATTATTCACCTATTAGGTGATTTTAGGGTTGAACTAATAACTTTTAATTTGGACAACATTGAGAAAGATGAAACGTAAACAATAGTTTCAAGCAAATAATCGATGAACGAAGAAAACAAAATAAGTGCTCGGAACACTTCAGACTGGGTGTCACAAGTGCATCAGATGGAAAGTCAAAACAGAAAGCCCAATGTAACTACTACAAAGGAAGGTTATCTGCACAATTTTATTTAAACAGGTACTACAAAAATGCATCGTCAAACACGAAGCTTTAAACCATAATGAGTCTCAACCCCAATTTGATTTTTCTGGTGGTGAAACTTCTAGTTTTCATCTTATTTGTTGGGTTTATTCACTAGAGGTCACGATTGAAGGTACGGTGATGTTCGTAGCTAATGGCGAGTTCCCATTTAACATAGTGAAAAATGATCACTCGACCAAATTCATAAAGAAATATCTCCAGTCCAGGTATGTACTCTACGCTAGATCTGGTGAATTAATATCTGCTGACCAATCAGATTAAGACTAGGGTGATTTTTCAAAATGACCTATGAATAGTAGCTTTTTAAGATTTTTGTTAAAAAGTCAATTTTATCCTTAAT